ATTCCAGCAAAAATTTTAACCTGGGATGGTCGATAACAAATCACTCCCCACAATGAGTGTATTGTTCTCCTTATCTTGTGTTTTTGATATTATGTCCTCTATTAGGCAGCTAAGTCCAATTTTGTTCATTATTAGATATAGAGCCTTAATAGTCTAATGAGTGTATTGTTTTTCTATCTTTTTTGATATGTAGTGTGCTGGTTTTAATATACGATTTATTGATTGGTATACTTACATGCAGGCTATTGTGCTTAGTTACATAAGTGCGGTTTTTGAACTTTTGTCAAGTAGGACGACAGATAGTACAATTCAGAGAGAGACAGAACGAAGATACATCCAGGGTTAAGGCGTTGAACCAGCTATCTCCCCGCTACAGAACGTATTAAAATAACATAGGAATGACTCCAAATAAATTAAAATTATAAAAAATAAAAACTACCTAAAAATGACTTTGGTTGTGATTTTTAGGGTTAATTTGTTGCTTCTTAGGGTTAAATGGAGTCGAACTTTGTGCATGTGTGGGAGTAGCTTTCTTTTTAACCCCAAGCTGTTTTATGTTATCTTTTTTCCTTCTTCTTTTTTTTAGAGTCTCACAGTGGACTGATTGTTAAGACCCGGCTCCCAGCAGATCACCGAAGTCAAGGATCACTGGCTACGGTCAGTGTGCGGGTGGGTGACCACTTGAATCAGTTTGCGTATGGACCGAGGGTGTGCGGTATTGATCCTGGTTAAACTGTTCTACCGTACAGTGATTGACTTCACGTGCAGGTCGTTGGGCTACCGAAGCGGGGGTGCCACCCCCTCTGCAGAGGATCAAAATTGTGATGGCATTGTAGCCCAGTGGTTAGAGAATCGGACTCCGAACCGGAGGGGTCCGGGTTCGAGGTTCCTCGACTCTACTAAGACTCTCTGAGTACATGCGATATGCGTGCTCGTGAAATCTGTGGAATCGAAAGTTCTATGGTCGGTTGCTGAGCAGTATCAAGGTTACAAGGATCTGGAGAAAATTTCCTTCCCCTTCAGATATATGTCTAGATTGAAGAAGTGGTCTCACATATTGTGATGGCATGTTTTCGGATCATTCTCAGCGATGTTTACCAGACCCTTGTCAATAACTTATTGTGCTTCTCTAGTGTGACGAAAATAAAGTACCTACCTACTTACCCTCTTCTCCTTTGTGGTTTCAGTTCAGCTCCACAAGGACTAAGGAGGCTCCAAAAACACAACCTTAAGAAGTCACAAGTTCGTGCCTCATAGAAACAGAAGATACTCAGTGTTAAGAAAGCGGTTAAATTTAAATCTGGAAATTGCTGATCGCAACTGACCTTAAAGCTTCTAAATACGCCATCCCTTAATTAAAGTGATACTTTCATCAATGCTATTTTAATCTTTTGCGATTTCTGATGTTTTTGGAACTCGAACCTAGGACTTTATCTGTTTTAGTCAGGGATCTTCGTTTCTCGGCCACCCTTGTCTAAGACAAACACAGTTCAAAATAACAAAAAAGGAAGGCAACTCCTCAGTTTAATATTTGACGTTAGGACTGGCTGGTTAAAACGTCATTTATTTATTTATATATTTTTGCTCTCTTTTATATGTAAGTTTGTTACATTTTTTTGTTATATTCACGTTATTTCAACTATCATGGAACTTGTTTGATTTAAAACTTTTACTCTTTTCTTATTCATTTCAGTAATATATAGCTCAGTTAATTACTTAAAGCAATAAATGTCTTTTTAACCTTAATTTTTTACTATTAACAGCCTCAAAAATTAAAGTTTCTGCTTATATACATTTAAAAGATGACACAGAAGTAACTGGACAAGTATTTTATTCGATAACTTAGAGCATGCCATTTAACCTCAACCAAATGTTTAGAGCTCTGAAGTTACATTGCGAACTTTAATTGGTTTCATAAATCTTCAAAATAAAGAATTTCGATCTCCTTGAACTAAACTTTCTGTAATGGGAAATTTTTTTTTATCGAAGAAATATAATTTGTTGAATGAAAGAATTCAATAATTTCTTATTTACTCATGTTATAAAAAGATGTAAACAAATTAATGCAATTAATTTGAAATTTATTTTTAAGGACATTTACGAAGATTGGTCAAATACAAACAAGAGCAGATTTATTTAAAAATTTTCAAGGGTTGACAAACCTATGAGAGGTAATTTTTTGTGGTTATTTTGGCCGTTTATGAGTAAATTTTTAGATCTTAGTAGGTTTTTCAAGCATGTATATCTTCATAAAGGATTGAAAAATTACTATTGCAGTTTTAGTCAAGCGAGAGTAAATCACTTTGACAAATGAGATTTTCAAGTGCATAAAGTAATTTTTTTTAGTGTAGTTATTTAATTTAAATAAAATTCTCATTATTACCACTGTCGGTGATTATAGTAAACTATCTGCATAACGAATTCCCTTATAGGGAACCGTCTGCACACCCAACAATAAGCATAATGCAGCAGTATTGTTAGAAATATTGATTGCAATAGTACATAATTTGCTTTGTGAATTATAAACTAACTGAACATATAGAGTTCCTTTACAGCATAGTTTCCTTACAGCACATTTCTTCCTGTAACGAAGTTTTTAATCGGAACGTTAAAAAATATTCAGATTTTAATAACGAAATAGTTGTATCTCTGTGATAAAAATTTTTAATCGGAAGGTTAAAAATCGTTGAAATTACTATAAAGAAGTGGCTGTATGCCTGAAACCAATGTATTAATCGGAGCTTTAAAAAACATTCGAATTACTATAACGAAGTGTTTGTATCCCAGTAACGAATTTTTTAATCGGAAAGTTAAAAATCATTCATATTACTGTAAAGAAGTGGTTGTATCCCTGAAACAATTTTTTATTTGGAACGTTCAAAAACATTTAAATTACTCTAACGAAGTGGTTGTATCCCTGTAACAATTTTTTTATCGGAACGTTAAAAAACTTTCAAATTGCTATAAAGAAGTCATTGTATCCCTGAACAAATTTTTTGATTCGGAATGTTTAAAAAAAAACATTCAAATTACTCTAACGAAGTGGTTGTTGTTGTTGACGTATGCCTGTTTAGGCACAGGGGATGCAATTGTTCTTGTTTTCCAGTGGCGCCATCTATGGCCAAGAATTCGACTTCTTCCCATTCATACCCATTCATACACCCAATCATTCATCCGCAGATCGTAATTTTGACCTGAATCAGAGAACGATCGATCTCCAATCCAGAACCCCCAGAGGTTTTGATTTGTTATGGGAACATGGAGGACTTTTGCGACTCGACAGATTTAACGTGCATCAGTCACTTTACTACACGGGGAGTCTTCGGCCGGCGGGGTTCAAACTCACGAACTCCCGGACATGGGCCCAGCGCCCTACCGTGTCCCTGTATCCCTGTAAAAAAAATTTACTGAGTCTCACAGTGGACTGATTGTTAAGACCCGGTTCCCAGCAGATCACCGAAGTCAAGCATCACTGGCTGCGGTCAGTGTGCGGGTGAGTGACCACTTGGATCAGTCTGCGTAGGGACCGAGGGTGTGCGGTATTGGTCCTCGTTAAACTGTCCTACCGTAAAGTGCTCGACTTCGCGTGCAGGTCGTCGAGCTACCGAAGCGGGAGTGCCATCCCATCGGCAGAGGATCAAAATTGTGATGGCATGTCTTCGGATCATCCTCAGGGATGTTTCCCAGACCGTCGCCAATAGCCCATTGTGCAGCTCTAGTGTGACGTAAATGAACTATAATAGTAACTGAATAATAATAACTGTAATAATAACTGAAATGATAATAATAAAAAATAGTGCTTTAAAAGCGTTTTTTTTTCTAAAATTTATTTAGCACTTTGCTTTAAACATACAAGTAATTTTTAACGTTTCATTTATAAAATTGAACATTACGATCGAACTTAATAATTATGTAATTATTTATGCATAATAGTACAAGAAAATATTAATTTGTAAAAAACGCTTTAAAAAAAGTTTTAAACACTTTGTTTTACGCGTATTATGAATTTCTAAACAAACATTTCAATAAATATTTTAAGTAAGATTTGTACATTGTAGTCAATTTATTTAATATCTTTCTTAAGCAAAACATATATATCTTCAAATTTATAAATTGATTTAAATCAATCTGAGTATGAAGTTTTGATAGAAATCTGACTTTCTGTGCCTTACAAGTAAATGAAATTCAAAAATACTATATCGCGATACATCGCTATATCGCGATGCAAAACTGACGATGTATCACGATATATAATTTCTAATATCGCCCAGTCCTAGTTCTGACTGGACCACTTAAGTCGTTCATTACATTTTGAACGTATCACATACACTAAACATTTTGTAACACTTATTTTGAATTTTTTCAAAAAGGAAATTTGAGTCCACTATAAGCGAACTACCAATTTCTTAGCTGTCCACTATAAGCGTATGAATTAAATTACAGTTCGGACTGGACCACTTAAGTTGTTCATTACAACCATGTGCTCACTATATCCGGGAGTTATTATAGTGAGTATTAGTTTAAATTTGTAGAAGGCCCCCGCGTGTCAGAACTCCGTTCCAAAATTGGCGATCCCAGAATAGTGGAAGATCTTAGTACTTCCAATGGCAGAGCCTCAGCATCTTCTCAACTTTCTTCACGCTTTCCAACACCCATCTCTCCTTTATTATTACTTTTTCTTTTTCTTCCACTGTTTATTTATATTTTTTTTAAGAAATCTCATCTAGTTGCTCATAATTCGCTAATTATTGCTCTCATCTTTTTCATCTGGACAGTCCTCTCCCCCTCTACCCTTGGATTAATTAAGCGAAAGAAAATCGTCGTACTCAAGCAGCTATCGTAATACGAGGTAAGTTTTTTTTCTTCTTCTTGTTTTGGGATCTGCTATTTACGTAAATGAAAAGTGAATGAATTGAGTCTACGTCTGCAATAGTTTAAGTGTCACGTACATATGTCAATGGGGCATATAAATAAGGGTGTATTATTTTATTTGCTAGAGCCAAAGAACGCTTGTTATTGGAATTTGAAACAATATGCACAGTATAAGATAGCTCGCTCAAGATATTGCACGCTTTTATTTAAAATAAGGGAAAATTTTTTCCACCGTGGAACCACCATGGAAAAAAATACCTCGCAAAAAATAGGTTTCTTTCAGTCAAAATGGAAGAAACTCTTTTTTTTTAATAAAGAAATGGCCAATATTGAATTAAAAAAATATCAAATTTAGTTGCAATCTAATACTTTTATTAATAGTGTTAGTTTCTAATTCATTTAATGAATAATTTGTAAATAAATCAAAATGGAAAGCAAAAAGTGAAATGAAAAAATTAAAACAAATATTAGTTTTTTCTCAATATTTTGCATAAAAGAGTGTTGCAGAATTTTATTTTAAAATTACATAAAGAGCTTTTTAAATATTACAATAAAATAGTATATTGTATTGTACTACAAACCACGATTGCAAATAGCATACTAATTTTCATAACCAAATGCTGTGATATAGTACGCTACAGGTTTTTACCAATATATATTTTTAATACAGATTTATTTTTTACATACCTAATCAAATCATTAGCCTTATATAATTATTAAATAAAATTTGAAAAAGTGGTAAACAACTCATAAGGCTATTTTAATATTTGATCTGAAAATCATGAAAATATTCATGCACATTTTAAAATGCATTTTCAATTATAGAGTTTTTATTTTAAATTAAACTTGTGAGTTTTCAAAGATAACATTTCACTCAGAGAATTTTTCACATTTCGGTTGTTTTATAATATCTTTTTTTAAGCTTTACTGTTATAACTTCAGTGTGAATTTATAGTATATTATTAGTATTAGTTTATTTTAATTGAAAAAAAAATCACTATTAAATTTCGAAAAATAAAATATAAATTCACATAATTTATAGATATAAAACTACATATTGCTTAAGAAAAAAAGGATGTCATAACTACAAATTCAAAACTAATTATTATAATAGGTTTTTAAATAGTTATCATTAAACAATTATATTTTGACATTTTTTATTTCTTTTATTTTGTCCATTTTCTTCCATCATTTCCGGTTTTTTTAAACTTTCTTCCTGTATCCTGGAAGAAATAGTTTTTTTCAGGACTCTGAAATATAAATTATTACTAGATAAGCTATTTGTTGTTAACATAATCAACTGAGACACTGCGTTCAATATATTGAGCAATATTAAGACGAATTTATTCGCTTTTAAAAATCTCGTATTTTTCTCATATTTTTTGGATCTTTTGCCCATGTAAACATTTGTTATAAATTTATAGCTTAAAAATTTATATTTAATAATTTTTTTTGTTCCTTTTTATTTTTTTGAAAAGCGATTGTCTTGGCAAATATAATTGGATTTACTTCGCTGGTCGGAATATTTAATTACAAAGGAAAATTAATATAATTAATACTTTATTAATTAATTATCGAAAAAAAGATAATTATTAATGAATTATTAAAGGCAAGAAATTAGATTCAAGTAACTTTTCGGACAGTTTCATGGCATATAAATATTTTATTATTTGTGGACAGTGGAATTTATTTCGTCATCAAAATGTTCGGAATTACACTCTAAAAATATCCTGCAATAGGTATGATAAAAACAAAATTATATAATTGTTATATAATAATTAAGCTAAGCTATTTCTAAGCTATTTCTCTAAGCTATTTCTTTCTAAGTAATAAATTGTATTTTCCGCTATTATTTAAAGCTTGGGGCTGACCAGTAATGTAAACAATGTACAATCTCAACGTTTCAAAGCTTACTGAATGCTTCAAATATATTAAATAAGGCTGAACAGAGTAAACAATGCAAAAATAATGCCACAATATTCGCGATGTTCATGCATTGAAAAGAGTATAGTTTTTCTTCATTTAAATATAATTTACTTTCTGAATGCCCGTTCTTAGTGTGCTGTAAAACAAGAAATTCATAATCTATAAATTGGTATTAATATAATTGGCACTAAAGTGAAAGGCATATGACACCATAATTAAAGAAGATTAATTATAATTTTTATTATTATTATTTGTTGCTCTTTTTCATTGACTTTACATAAATAGATTAAGCAAAACACATTTTTCGAAGTTTATTTCTTTAAAATGAAGATTGACTATCGGAGGTGTCATTAGGCAATAAACTTCGTCATAGGGCCCGTAGTACTTTGCTCAGTCATAGATGTAATTATCCATTACACTATAGCTTCCTCCATTGCACTATAGCTTTTGTGGGCCGACGTAGACACACATCAAGGGAAAGGAGAGATGGGAGGTACAGTACCCGGATTTACCCCTCGAATAGAGGTTATCGAAGCGAAACAGAAGAGTGCTACTTATTGGGCGAAATCCTTGTTGCTTTGTTAGGGTAGGAATCTTTAGTATATATATATATATATATATATATATAAACTCTGAGTTCTATATATTTGCAGCTTATGCGCAGTTAATAAAACTTATTAATTTTCTTCGTTTTTCTCTTTGTTTTTATTGTGCTATATATATATNTTTAGGTGAAATATTTTTGGTTATATATAATTATTTCGAAATTTAGTCACTGTGATTGTAGTCGTTTTTAACATCATTGAGTGCATAGATCACAATACCTATGCACAAAATTCGCTCAAACGCTATACTCTTTAGAGGGTTCTATGTCGGCAAAGTTATTTAAGTACCTTTTGCATATAACAAAGAACTGATATGCAAAGCTAGTAAGCTGTTTATGTTTTTAAATTCTTAATGAAAATTCGTCGCCAATATCCCGTTGTACAGTTCTAGTGCGACGTAAGTAAAAATACCTACCTGAATGAAAATTCTTTTCTTGCGTTTATAGCGAGATGCGGCAACAAACCGATCAATAAGTTGGGATGAAATAAGCAGTTAACAGCGAACAGTTAAACATAGCACATTTTTCTACATTTTTGTTTCAACTATACATCTCAGTTTAAGCAGGATCAATATTAACTTAGTTATAGTAATATATTAATATAAATAATAACTTAGTTATATTTAATATATCAATATAAATAATAACTTAGTTACATTTAAGTTTTAATGCTGCTTCATAACTACTGCTGGAGAGCGATACGTTTTATCTACCGGGATTGGTCAGCTATACTTTCTATTTTTCATTTTCCTAACTGTTTTGGTTTTCATTCATTTTACGAGTTTGTGTTAGGATAAAAGTGTTTAAAGTGTTTCTGTAAGAATAAAGAATATTATCTGACAAAAAAAATCTGAAATTTATAATTTCGTATCAGCAATACAAAACTAGACTAAAACCCACAAGTATCTAATGAGCTAATATTTGAAAACCACTCCGAAAGGAAGCGAAAACAGTTCCGAGGTTTGGCGGGAGCAGCGATCAGGGGGTGCTGCCCCTTAGTTAAATTTTGAAGACTTTCTCACTGATTGCAATTTTTCGTATGAAAAAAAAATTGCATTCAGAGGTCTTTGATTGCTGGAAAATATTTACCCACGAATAACTCGCAAATCAGGTTATCGTTCGTACGCATAAAGATCGGATCTACTGAGAATGGTCTAGAATTGTTTAATTTTCTGTTCTTCTTAAGAAAAATCTAAACAAAAATTCGAAAACTAACAATGGACTGAAATTTTTACTGATTAGTTTTTAAAAATTAAAAGTGTTGAAAAATGTTTGTATATTTACTGCGCGATAATTAGCTTTAACCGTAATAATTACTTTTGTGTGGGTTAATTAATGGATTATAAATATATAAAAAATCTGGCAATCATCTGTCGAAGATGTGAACTTATAAAATTAAATTACCAACGTTTATATTTAACCGAATTAAATTACACAGTCAAATTACAAGTGTTTATAATGTTGTACTCATTTTTAACAATTATTTGGATTAATTTTTCATTAAAAAATATGCAAATATTTGAAATAAAAAAATAAACTATTTTATTGTTCATAATTTATATAAATTATAATTTTTCATAAAATGTTTCTAACATTAAGCTACACTAGAATGTTGCATGCATCGCATTTTGTAAAGTCAATTTTATGTGTTGTTTTTTTTATTTTTTTGAGTGAATTTAATATTAACAGTTTTTATGGTTATCATGATAGCCCATATAATCTCAAATAACTGAAATATTTCTTTGATAATAATAAAATGCTTAAGATAAAAAAATATCTTTCATTAAAAAGAAGCGACGAAACAGGAAGTTGTTTTAATTTTTTGATACCACTTGGAAAAAAAAAACAATGCTATCTGTGTTTATTTGAACAATAGACTCGTGTCATTAACAGTTTGGAAAAAAGCCACTAAGGGGTCAACGTCATTTGAGTTAATTCAAACCTAAGGTTTGCTAATTTAAAGCCCCATACAAGAAGTTAAAATTACCTTCAGTTTGATGACCTCAGCTTAAAATTTAGGTGAAATATTTTTGGTTGAATTTGTAATTCTATAATATTTAGTTTACAACTGATTAGTGTTAAATATTTTAAATTTATAAAGCTTCTTCTTTACTTTTATAAAGGTTATTCTTTTATTCCTTTCAGTAAACTTAAATACTATCATTATCAATTGTATGAATTTTATAAACGTTTTTCGTAGGAACTAGAAAAAAAATTGTAATTGTTTGCAACCCAAAGTAAAATTTTCTGAGCAGTTCTTAGTGTGGTCATCCAAGATCCCATGCATGGCCGCAAAAATCAGTTCAATTAACGAATTCATCCTTAAAGTATACTAAATTTTGAAGAATTTATAATTTTTAGTATTGTAAATTTTGACACTAAATCAATACATGTTTCATTTTATGATCTATGATGGTAATATACAGGGTTATTCATAATTCCCTCCG